TGGTACATGTCTTCCATGTATCTTTTGAACTGGCAATTATCTATTTATCTTTTTTTTAAGTCAGTATGGTCTAACACTGGCACATTCACAGCCACATTATTTCTAGTTCAAAACTGCAAGTACTTATTCAAAGGTCTTTGGGTTAGGCATTAATGTTTATGATTTTGTGCAAAAGTTCAAATTAAAATAGCTACAGTAGTAGAAGAGGTGCTTTCCCTCCTGGCACCTAACGGTGTATTTAAACTATCTTGTGTGATTAACTTATTTAGAGATGGTATAATTTAAAATAGGCGGTATTTAAGGTAGTGTCAGCTAGCTTTTAGGAAAATCAGAGTTCTTTTTAAAAAGAAATCTGGTCTTGTTAGAAAAAAATTTTTATTTTGTGCTTAATTAAGTTTCAAACTTGTTTTTTACAGTTATGTTGATAACAAAGGCACTAGAATGCTTTGTCCCATTTCCTCATTAATTTTTGCATGAATATCATACAAATCAGTTAGCTTTTAGGTCAAGGACTTATAATTTTTATGGGCCTTTTGCTAAGAAGTTCCCGTTAGAATTAGTGCCAGAATTTTAGGAACTACAGAGATCATGTATTGAGATTTCTTAAATAAGTCTTCAGATACTGCTTTATTGCTTTTTGTATTGGTTAAAACTGTATATTTAATATTGCTATGTTGCTATTTTCTATAATTAATAGTTTGTCTATTTTAAAATAAATTAGTTGTTAAGAGTCTTGATGGTCTGATGTGGTCTTTGTATTAAGTACACTAATGTTCTCTTCTGTATCTAAATTTCTCTCCTAGCATCAAATCTGCTCTTAGCCTTAATGGACTGTACATGCAGATGATTTCGAAAGCTGTTTCTCTAGCCTTGACCTCTTCACAGAGGTCAAAGCTCTCATAGCCCATAGAACTCTTGATTACCTACTCCTGCCCCCTCAGCTTCTCAAAATATGAACCAAAATCAAACAAACAAAAATAACTTGTTTCTACCCTAGTCTTTCCCCATTTTACTAAACACTTAACTTGCTCCAGCCAAAAACCTAACTCGATTAACTGTTGTCTGTCTCCATTATTTCCTCTTTCCTCTTTACCTTTCAGCTTCATAAAGAGCAAATATGTAAGTTGATTCACATTGCTACTCGACTTGAAGTATTCACGCTCTTCACATGGCCTGTGAAGTAGCCCGTGTACTTCTCCATCCTCACGTCACGCTCCTTTTTTCTTGCTCACTGTGCTTTCCTCACACCGACCTTTTCTCTTATAATGCCAAGCCTGTCCCTACACCTCAGGCTTCTATGTTTGCTGTTCCGTCTAGAGTGCTCTTCCCGCAGAATTTTGCCTAGCTGGTTCCTTCCTATCTTTCAGGGCTCAGTTCAGAGGTCTTCCATGACCACCCATGCTAAAATCCTATTCTGTATTGTGTTTCTCTCCATCAAAAGTGTAACAGCATTTATTAGCATCTGAAGTTACCTTACCTGACTTGCCTATTGCATATCTATCCATCCCCACACTGGAAGCATCAACCTGGCTAGTCTTATTTACTGCTCTAGCTCTAGTACCTAGAAGAAGCCCATATGTAGCAAAAAAACAAAAACAAAAACAAAGTGTACTTTGAGTTTTTTTCCAAGTATGTAGAAGCAAATAATATTCTCTTCCTCTTTTCAAATGCCATGTGCTGAGTACATACCATATTCCAGTCATAGTTGTAAATGCAAGCAATACAACAAAGAATAAATAAAACTAAAATCCCCATCTCTGTGGAACTTCTAATCCTAATTCTAGTTTGGGAGAAAGAGAGCAAGTGTATAAGTAAATGTGGAATATGTAATTTGTCCAGTTGGATGAAGTACTTTGGAGAAAGACATAGCAGGGAAGGGGACGGGGTGCTGGTAGGGAAATGAGCTTTAAATTTTTAAATAGGGTGGCCAGGGAAAGACTTGGTGAGGTGATGTTTCAGCAAAGCCCTGAAGGAGGTGACAGAGCAAGCCGTACACTGACAGGGGTAAAACAGTCCAGAGGGGAAAAGCCAGTGCTAGGAGGTAGGCGTATGTCTGGTGAGTGAGAGAAATGAGGAGTGATAGAAAAATGGAAAAGAAAGGGACAAGCAGGTTATCTCTCTTCCTGTAATACAAAGTTTATATTAAAGGCCTTTCCTCCCAAGCATCATTTATATAGAGTACAAGCCCACAATCCTTTATCTGCAATTCCAAAATCCAAAAAGCTTTTAAAACCAAGTGGGTTCTGTCTGTCTAGTACCAAAAGTCGTATGGCATCAAAAGCATATCTAAATTGGCATGGAGCTATTTAGAGCCTTTATCCCATTTACTGGGAATATTCGTGTTCCACTACAAAAGTATTAATTTGGGAGATCATCTTGGCCCTGTGCAGGTGTTATATGTTATGTGGTACATGTACCATGTTCTCATCCTTAACTCCAGAAGAAACTATGAAGCATATCTGGTACCCAAGATTTCAGATAAAGGATTATCCTGAGTTTAGGTCATACGATCTCTCAGAAGCAGGGTGGATAGTGACATTCTCTCCTGGATCAGCAGAATGTTTATTTCTGAAGGAAGAAAGACTAGTAAGGAGGTTGGAGCAGGAAAAGTAGCAAGCGTACCTCAGTGGACTGTGCTTAGGTTGGATGGGGATCTTAATGCGGTCTCTTAGGTCGAGACAAAATCAAGCAGCCTTTATAACATTAAAAATGTTTTGTCTGGATAGAAAATTGGAGATTAATTTAGGACTCCAGTAATTAAAGCTGTTTATGACAAAAAGGAACAAGTTCAATTGCATATATTCCTTTCTTTTTCATTACCGTTTTCTGGTGCAGGGTGGGGGCAGATCCTCCTTGCTAATTCTGTTACCATCTGGATGACTTCATAGAAACTTGCTTGTGGAAGCACATTTTTGTTCCTCATTTTTGGGCCAGACAGTGTAAACAGCATTGGTAAGGATTCATTCAGTAGAATTTTCCTTTGGACTAAATAGATATTTTACAGGGCAACCTGAAACGTTGCCTCTGGAAATTATCAATTCTATCACAAGTACAGCTTCTTAAATAGAAATATATTATGGTAACACTGTGTAACATTTAAGTGGGATTAAAACAAGCTCTTTTAATATGAAGCTGGGATAGTGATCTATTTTTATAAATCCTTTTATTGTTTCAGGACTGTACTTATATATTAGTGTTGACACACATAATGATGACAATCTAATATGAAAGTTAAATTTATTTCATAGGCGAACATCAGTTACTTCCTGAATAGAAACTGTGATTTTAACTGAATTTAGTGAGAGAACATCAATATGGTTTATGTATTTATGCTTTGATAAAGACTGAATTAAAAACAACAGTAAGGCATGATTTTTCCTTTCTTTTTACAATTCTCCAACCTATTTGTTGTAATAAGGAGGGCTAATAAGATAAAGACTATGTAGTTTGTAGTTGTTCCCTTTTCATTATTACTGTTCAAGAATTCTGCCTCTGAGTAACACACACCAAGTTATGGTCCAGAATGACTGGCAGTTTCTTCAGGTCTCAGCTGAAGAATATTAACCTGTACTTTTTAAAAAGCATCGAATGGTATCTTCACAAACATCTAGCAGCAGATAAGGACACTATTCATGCAAAATCTTAACCTCTCTGTAAGTTAGGGTATATTAGAAGCACTAAAACACTGAACTTTCTTGTTAAGCAGAGTGGAAACAAAACTTAAGGATAGAAAAATCTAAGATGAACTTACATAAAAGAAAGGATCTATTAATTTCTGATGTAGTGTCATTATGAAAATGTACCTTTTCCCTCACATATCTGTAACTGAACAGCAAGATTTCTGAGGCTCTACAAATACTCTTCTATTAGAAGGAAATAAAGTGTCATTATCCTTCACATAGGAGTCTTGATGGCAAGCGTATCCTCAAAGACCAGAGAGAAAGCCTGTTCTTTCAGAGATGTATCCACGGGACTCATATGTCATGTCTCACGCTGGTCTAAAATTAGCCCTTCCTTATTGTCTGGAGTCCTAGGTTTTGAGGGCTAAACCAGTGACTCTCATCCTTGGCTAAACATCAAAATTACTTGTGGAGCTTTTTAAATATACTGAATTTAGAATCCTTGAGTCTATATTTTGTAAAAGTTCCATAGATGATTACTCTGTTGTACCCAGAGATAAGAAGCACTGAGATACACGTACATAACAGTGCAAACCTGCATATAACAAAGCCTAGAAAGGAAAGCTGGATAAGAATCCACCCAGCCCTTCTTAATAACTTGTACTCCTGCAGCATAGCTATTGATTAACCCATTGTGGAGTTTGGTAAAGGGTAGTCCATTTTGTATCCTTAAGTAAACTTATCTGTTCCCTTTGAGTGTTCCAATTTTTACATGAAACGAGTTCATAAAATAAAAAGGCATCAAGGAGCTTCAGAAGACTCTGTCAGAAATAGGCCAGAAGGAGGAAGAGAAGGTTTTGGAAAACACTGTTAAGATGTGAAGGCTTTGGTCAGTTACAGAGTGGTTGTCCAATGGTGAGAACTGATAGCTGTGGGTAATACCCAGGTCTGAGTATTTCTTTGCTGGATAAAAAAACAAATTTACCAAAAAATGAAAACAACTTGTATATGGCTAACTTTACAATAACAAATAACGGAATAAGACTATATAATTCCCCAAATAGTCTTGTGATTTAGAACTAGAGGCATCCAGTTGACTCTGCCTCTACAAGGTAAGTTCTGCAAAAATGTATAAACAGAAAAAACTAATGATGCTAAAGCGACTGCACCAATAAGGAGCAGCTGCAGGCAACGATAGGAACAGTAGGTTGTTTATATAAGCCATTTATGTTTTAAGTAGGCTTTGCTATGACACCTTAACTAAGTAACTGCTTTAAAAAAACAAGCTTATATCAAGTGGATTTATGTATATCTAAGAGACATAAGGTTGATATAATTTTGCTGCTGCTTAGGGATTAAAAGACACACACATCTGATCTATTATTTGCAAATAAGCACTTTATTATCAAATAGTCCAGCATCAGAACAAGGTTTCTAATTCCAAAAAAGTTTTCTTTACATAGTATCATACTGTGAAATACCTCTTAGGAGACTCTGATGCTATGTCCTACATCCCATTCCAGTTTCTATTTTGTAGTTGGGTAACTTGTTTTGATCTAAAAAGTATAAATTTATCTCATTCTTAATGCTATACATGAAACGTAAGTATTAGCTCCTTTTCAGCTAGTACTTTATAATTATACTGTGCCAGTTTGAGACCTGATTTATAGTGACACAAAAGTCAACTACACATAAAAGAAACACACATAATCATTTTTACTTACAGAGGAAAATCTCTCTTAACACAAAAGCAATTATATAAGACAGATGAGCCCAGAAATAACATTCATTCAAAGGTAGTACTTCATATTCAATAATCCCATAGGATAAATCAATGACTCAGAGTAAATAGAAAATTAAAGTTAGCCCTTGGACTTTTGACAATTTAATTGCCAAGGCCTTTTGTGAATTCTAATTAATGCTCTAAACTAGCCACTATTTCTTAGAACAATGCACCAAAAGAATATGAGCTTTAGTAGATACCGGCTATTTGAAATTTGTTTTTGTGCAAGTTTTCCCTTCATCCAGTATCCCACAAACAAAGCTGTTCTCAAGGCAAACTTAAGGTTTATAAAAAATTAATCGAGTGCCTACCATATGCAAAGCACTGCCCTGGGTGCAGAAAACGTGGAAGTGACAGCATTCCTTGTCAAGCTATCTATGTGAGATCAGCCTGCTGAATAATGGACCTTTCGGCCAGAATAGCATACACTTAGATGGATATGCCAAAAGTGTCCAACTTAAAGAGACTCGAAAGAAGACATGGTAAATATAAAAAGAGATTTTAATTGTTTTCCCCCTAGAGCTTAGTCACATCTGATCAGAGTATTTAATGCCTTCAGTGTCCACTTTGGGTTTCAGCCGATGGGGAAGACCGATCCTTCTTTCAACAGAACGTAAGTATTTTAGCCAACTGTAGCTCATCATAAATACTTCTACAGAAAAGCCATTCTCTGGCTTCTGCAGGGAAAACGGAAGTGTTAAAAATTCTTTCCTACAGGTGAGGATCAATTTTTAAACGCTCCAACTCTGCTTGCTTTGCTGATAAAGTTCTTGAGGAGATCGTGGTCCATTTCTGCAAAGCCTGAAGTTTGTGTTACTACAGTCAAATGGTTTATGCAGAACCTGAAGCAGAATTCTTCTAAATCCTAGAAACAACCAAAAAAATGTTTTAACAAATTCCTATTTCCTAATGCAATGCAACATAGAATGACAATTCCTAAAACACGCAGGCGAGGAAAAGGTATTTGCTAGCCAAGAGGAAGAAATGTGGTACAACAATACCTAAAGGATAGTTAAAAAACTATACAGCTAATATGAATCTATGCTTGTAAAAATGCAAACAATAGAATAAAACATTCAAGTTCCTCTACACCAACCAATGCAAAGAATCCAACTTTTTCTTCTCAGAGACAGGCACATGTATGAATTCTGTACCTTTTATAGTGACTCTATTTGTATTATTCATTATACTTTCAATATCTGTTGAAAGTAGGACACTCCTCTTTTATATTCCCCTAAGGGTTTTAAATATTTCTACCTGTAAAGAATATATAAGAAAAAGTTAAGTCATAGAAAATGGTAATGCTGAGAAGCAACTTCTCTGAAGTCATTAACAGGCCACTGCTCTTTTTCCTGTCCAAGAAGACAAAGGATGGGATGGTTGGATTTCATTAGACTCTGCATACCTTCAATCATCTTAACTGGAAAAATGCTTTGAAGAAATCATGACTTGCTCCTAAGAGAAATTCTGCAGATTGGTGTTTCTGGCTCACTGTGATGCACTCTGAGCCCAAGAATAATCCCATAGTAATTCTCTTGATTAGATCTGTAAACTTGAGAATCAGAATAGAGGGGGCTGGATGCTTTTTTGGCTCCAGACAAACTAGAGCTAAAGTGAGGACAGCCTTTGGAGACTCCCACATGCCTCCAACCCTGGGCTGCGCTGCCATCTTGACCCAGGACAAGAAGCTTCCTCTCTATTAGCTGAAGCTAATTTATAAAAAAGAAAAGCCAAAAATAATCTCCAAACAATCATATATACACATTGCACACTATCATCTCTTCTTTACACACATGTGAATTATAGCAAATGCTGGAAATGAAAAAACAGACAAAAATTAGCAATACTGATAGCCATGCCAGTCAATGTACACACAGATTCACAGTACGTTTTAAGTAGGAAACAAACTACATGAGGAAAGCCTATTTATTTCATCCCTAAACACAGCTGTGTATAACATCTCTCAGTCCCAGGTAAGTCCTAAGTGATAAAACAGGCAAAATTCCACATACTCACTTGGTATCACAGCATATGACTATACATAAAAATGTGCTTCATTAATACAGACTTAAAATTATGGACTCTTGTTTACATTTTTAGAAATGACATTTTTGCCTAGAGCACACTGAAGTGAAACAAGACAGAGAAAGTCTCCCCAGCTGAATTCTACAAGGAAGAGTGGAGAAATTCACACCTACACCACACACATGAAACTATTGGGTTGTCGGAAAAGTCATGACGTATTTTTTCTGTTTTTTGTTGCAAATGTGCGTCATGACTTTTCCGACAACCCAATACAAATATCTGGCGAGATGGGTCGGTAGTGTGAAGTCATAAATCTGGGCAGCTTCAGTAAAGCTGCGAATCAATGAGAGAACAAAAGGACCATCAGAAGTTCACACTTGGATCCACCCTGCTTTACTATCCTAGAATGGGAACTTCCCATCATTACTAAAGAAGGACAGGAATTGGAAAGAGTTCCTTGATTCTAAGAATTCAAGTAATCTGGGCGTAGAGTGATACTTGGTTATAATGGATTCTATGCATATAAAACAAGGCCCCATTACTGTTCAGAAAAGAGTTGTACTTATACTGTAAAGGCTACTTTCTATGGCCTTATGTTTAAAATTGGGCCCTTACTACTGTCTAGCAATCCAACCGTTTCCCTGGCTCAGTCACCCTCCCATAGTACTACATGACTGTCACGCCTTCTCCCCTCCGAACCCACCTCCCACCTCATCCTCGCTCTAAGCTTCCTTCCTTCCTCATTGCGAGGGAACCTCCACAGCTCTTGCACTGGATCTCTGGCCGACCCGCCTGCACCCCTGTGGACTGCTCTCTCTCCTGTCACTGGATGAACAGCCCATGATCCATCTAAGGCTGGTCTCTTTCACCATCCCAATGGCTCCCACCTCCTAAGGACACCACTTAGAACTGTCCCTGCACACCTGCCTCTTTCCTTTACTGGATTATCTGCATTATTATGCAAACATGCTTCAACTGCCTTCATCTTCAAAAAGTAAAAAATATGTTTTACTTCATGTGGCCCTCCAATCATCACCAGTTTTGTTTCTCTTCCAATCTTTATAGTAAAATTACCAGGAGAAGTTATCTATATTCCCCATCTCCAATTCCTCACCTTTCATTCTTCAGTCAGGCTTTTATCCCCATCGCTGCTGACACTGCTGCTGAGGTCACCCACCCACGGTGTTCTCATTGCCAAAGCCAATGGCTAGCTCTCAGCTCTCAGCTCTCAGCTGGCCGAGCTGCAGCGTCTGGTGTGGTGGCTGACTCCTGCCTTCGCCACACACTCTCTTTACTAACTTCTAGGACTCAAGTCTTCTAGTCTGTCTACCTCCTTCCCTGCTGACTCCTTTCCTGGTGTCTCCTTATCTCCTTGACCTCTAAACATGAAGTGCATAGAACTTAATCCTCATACCTGCCTATTTCCTGTCAGTCTCCTCTACACTGATGACCTTCCCCTGAACTCCAGGCTTGTTTATCCAACTTGTTTATTAAGTAACATATTCAAAATAAAAGTCTTGCTATTTCCAAAAAAATGCTGCTCCGCCCCATCTTCCCTATCTCAATAAATGATCATTTCATCCATTCAGTTGCTCAGGCCAAAAACTTTGGAGTCATCCTAAGTTGTCATCTTTTTGTTTTTGTTTTTGTCACCCACATTCAACCCATCAGCAAATCCTGTTGGCTCTACCTTCAAAATATATTCAAAATCCAGCCACATTTCACCAGCCCCACAGCTAATAACTTGGACCAGTCTACCATCATCACTTATTGGATGATACAGCCTCCTAACTATTCTCAACACAGCAGCTAGAGTACTGCCAATGTCAGCTCCCATCCGCTCCTCTCCAAACCCTCCAGTGCTCCCACTGGAGCTCTGATCCCTTCACGCTGCCTGTTGGGCGCTGCAGGCCCTGCCTCCCTCCACACATACCCATCCTCACGCACCATCTCTGACTTCCCCACCGCTCTCCTCCACCCACACCCACCTCAGGGCCTGTACCTTTCTCCTCCCAGCAGCGTGCTCCCTCTATCCATACCTCCTTCAAGTCTGCTCAAGTCACCTTCTCAGTGACACCTTCCTTCCCTGACCCCTGTTTAAACTTGCAACTTGAATCTCAGCCTGGCACTCGCTAGCTCCCTTCTCTACCTTACTTTTTCCATATCATTTATCACCATCTAATATACTATATATTGTATTCACTTATTTATTGCCCATCTCCCCTCACCAGAAAGTTCACGAGGGCAGACATTTGGGTCTGTTTGGTTCACTTTCCGTACCTGTAGCATCTAGAACAGTGCCAAGCATATAATAGCCACTCAGTGACTATTTATTGAATCAATGAATGAATAGTGTTGTTTTAAAATATGGGGGGAGGGGGACTATAGAGAACTATAGTTAAATGTGTGGATTTAAAAACTGTCTAACCTTGGATTGCATACCAGCTTTGCAATTTACTACTTTACTAAGTATTTACTTAATCTCTCCAACTTGCAGTTTCCTCATTTGTAAATTGAGACCAATAATAATGCCTGTATTTTATAAGGTTCTTTTGATTAAAAGAGATATGAACTGTGCTTTGAGTAATAATCCCTGCCTCCAATTAATTATAGTCTAGCATGAGGGCTAATAATTTGCTGAAAAAAACCATTATGTGATTAAAGTCAGCAAGTAAAAGTCCTAGCCAAAGCAAATATACCTTTATTTACAAAAACTTATATTTTAAGTATACATATGGCCTATTTTACTTACAATCTATTATACTAATTTAAGGTATAACAACTAGTTAAACAGGCAGTAGTAAAATACAGTGTCTCTACAGGCAAAGTTGAACATTCATTTAAAAATATTTAATGAGTGCCTACTATGTGTCAGGCACTTTCCTAGGCACCAGGGATGTGAGCAAAGCAAAGTCCTTCCATTCCTCCAGGGGCTCACTTCTAAGAAAACAGGACTGGAAGGTAACCATACAAATAATTCACATAAATAGGGAACATGAAAAAGTCTTGGAAATTAAGTCTAGTTCAGATGGAAACACTATTCGCCCACTATTTTGTCATCTGAGGTCAGCCCACCAGAGTCCAGTATTAACAAACTTTAACAAACTCTAGAAAAAGCACATAGATTTTGTTTGGCCAAAAAGCATTTTGCATGTGCCCAATGTAGCATTACCACGATGAAAGATAAGCATTACTATGCTTTTAAATGTCAGTGTTTCAAAGTGGGTAAGATTATTTTAAATGTTAAGTAAAAAAAAAAATCTAGCACTTAGAAATAACGTAGTCAAAAATCAGAAGGAGCTATGTGAAAATGTTATGTTCTTAGGCTGATGAGTCATTTCCTTCCTCATACTTTTTGTATCTTCCAAATGTTCTTTAATAAGCATATTATTATTTATATAAGCAGAAAAGAAGTTATAACCTTTTTTCCGCCCACCACTAAAATGTCCCTGTTTTTTTAACCAAAGGAGAGGATATCCTTATACCAAAAGGAAATCGACTCTAAGAAATATAGCCTGTTTCCTAAAGATTTAGCCCTAAGACAGGTTTTCTTTCCTTTCTTTATTATCAAAACAATGCATGGTCACTGTAGAAAGTTCCGAAAAAACAAGCCAAGATAAGGAAATGAAAATCATCCATAATCACACAATTCAAAGATAACCATTTACTATATTTTTCCATCTTTTTTTATATTTAGATAATGAATTTCAGTCTTTAATTCAGCTAGTTATACTTAAAAAAATAAAAATAACAGTTTTTCAGTTAATGTGATATCTTAGTAGGTGCACAATTTCATAGTATTAACATCCTGTAGTTTAAACAATCCTCTACTGTTCACATTGACTTTTTCTAATTTTTCAAAATTATAAACAACACTGCAGTAAACATCTCTGAAGTTAATCTGTGTCTGAATCCATAATTACTTCCTTCAGACAAACTCCTGTAAATGAATTTCTTAAAGGATTACATCATTAAAGCTTTTAATACATAGTATATCAAATTGCACTATAATGATTCTATCAATTTGCACTTTCATCAGCAGTTTAGAAGAACATCCACTGTTATGAGCCTGTATTTCTAAAAATATATTCCCTGGTATGACAGATGTAAAATTATACCTTGTTTTCATTTTTTCATAAATCCATTTGGTTCATTTTTTTTCAAACTCCCCATGTTTTCTTTTTGTTTTTTAAGAACTATACATTAACTATGATAAACTTGCATCATTATATATTGCAAACATTTTCCCAGTGTATCATTTACTTTCTAATTTTCCATGTGGTATTTTTTTGGTGTATAAATGTTTATCATCATTTTGAAATCAAATCTATCCATTTTTTCCTTTAGAGTTTCTGCCCTCCAGGTAATATTATATAAAGAGTCACTAATATTTTTTCTGATACTTTACTGTATTTGTTTACATTAAGTCTTTCATCTACCTAGATTTTAGTTTAGTTTAAGATATGAGGTAGACGTCTATTTTTTCCAGAAGGTCAGTGAGTTGACAAAATGCTTCTCTTACCTGAGCGTCGTACTTCACAGCAGCAGAGAGCAGAGCAATGGCATTCTCCTCGCAGATTCCTTGCTTGATCGTTTGTTGGCAGAGCTTTTTCAAACGGTTTTCTCTATAAAATGTAGCCAAATCTAACAATCCTTGTGGAAAGAGATGTTTATTAGTGGTAGTGATTTCAAGCGTCCTGATGTGGTTTCAAACGCAACCCTTCAGAGATGATTTTGACATTATTTGGAATAAAATCCTTGGGGAAGGCTGTGTAAAACATACTTGTGCTGACTTACACTGTGAGGAATGGAGCTGAACTGAGCAAATACAATTCACAAACAAGGAGCTGTGGAAAAATAGGAGCACGGTGAAAATGGCTCTAATATACTTCCTAGAAATGCCCCTCTAATTATCTGTCCACCTGCATTACCAACAGGTGCTCGTGGGTCATCTCCATCAGCATACACACATGCTATAATACTCGTAGTGCTCATCTTTTTTTTAAAAAAGAAAAAAACCTTTCGTGGACACGTTTGCATCCATCGCCCTTCCCCATTTCCCTGCTCCTCTCTACAACAAATCTCCGGGGAAGAGTCCTCCCTACTTGCTGCCTCCATTTTCTCACCTTCCATTCTTATCTCAAGCCATTGCAGGCAGAACCCCATCCCTCCACTCCCTGACAACACACCTGTGACTGTCACTAATGGCTTCCACAGTGCCAAGCCCAAGGGCTATTCTCCAGTTTCATCTTCCTCAAGACTGACACAGAATTGCATGTGGTTGATGAAATGCTTTGTTACTTGCTTGTGTTTTTATTTAATTACTCTTCAGTCTCTTGGCTGGACCCCTTTTCCTGACTTCTGAATATTTGAGTCCTCCAGGGTTCAGTCCTCAGATTCTTGCCTCACTTACTTCCCTAAGTGATTCCAGCCCCATGATTTAAATACCACCTATAAATGCTGATGGTTCCTGTTATATTATCTGTTATCTGATTTCAAATAATTCAACATAGAGGGATATACATTTGTAAGTTAATTTTAATCTACTCCAAGGGACACCATGAAGTACTCCAATCAGGAATGGTCAGTTAGTATTTGAAAGATCCTTCAGGAGCTTCAGATACTGCTATGGACATCTTCGTTAAAGAGTGCTAGAAATACTCTGTCACTGGTGAACTGAGTGGTGTTGGGGATGTGTGGCCTGGCTAGAAATGTTGTGAGGGTCCTTTTGCCTTTGCACAAATGGGGTTCAGGCACCATGAGCTCAGCAGCCCTGCACCTTTGGAGAAGTACATTCGCTAGGTCTGCATCCAGTACTAGGCTCCCACCTGACCAGAAGGTTAGCTGAATCTTGCTACTAGAATATCGTCACATCTACTTCAAGCTAACCTTTCATGCAAACTACTGTACAGAGGGCCTAATGGACAGAGCCAGGATTTCATCGTCTTACAATATTAACTCTTTTTATATCTGTTTGCTGATAAGTTTCGAATATGTGGAAGAATTTGATTGGAAACTTCCTTTCACTGTAACATAAACATTACCAAAGTTATGGAAGAAAGCCCTATGCCCATTGGAGGATACTGAAATCTTGAAAGTCGTGTGAATGGCTCGATTGTTTTTGGTCAGTTCTCAACTCCCAAACTCTTATCAATGGCCCTATACACTCCCAAGCTTCAGACTCACATCTACAAGTCCTCACATGCCCTGCAAGAGGACCCTGCCCCGAGTCCCTGCTCTGTGCCTCCTCCAGGCACACCCCTCACCAAAAGTGTGGCCAAGGAGCCATGCACCCACTCACTCTTAGACTACACATTGGGGATGTGAGACGCTGGGATTCTCTGCCTAACTGGCCCTGAAGGCACGTGTGTGGGTATTTCCTTCCCTCCAAACCATACTACCAAAAGTGCAGACCACAGCCCCAACGGGTGGCCTGAGGTGGGGGTGGGTGGAGCTTAGACATGCAGGCTGCGGTGCCCACACAGCCCTTGTGAGGCAGGATGTAGCTGCTGGTGGGAAAAGAAAGGCGGCAGGCGGCAGCTGGAGGCCAGAGGCCTGGTGGCCCCTTGCCACTGTGCTCCAGTGCACAAGTCCCAGGAGTCCTACAACTCAATTCCAGCTAACACTCAAACCTGGCCTTTCAGTTCTCAGTGAAGATATACTTCTCAGGGTACGAGGACTGAACATATTTTATCTGAAGTTTGTTCGCTGACATATAACTAAGTTTTTAGACATGGCACGTAGCCCTTCATTTGGACTCTTGCCCAGGGCCCTGCAAATGTTAGGGGTGGGCCTGCCAAATAACTGCCACTGGGCGTCTAATAAAGCAGCTCAGACTCCTTTGACTTGTCAGACTCAACAGCAACCCCTCTCCGTCTTCCTCATCTTAGTGACTGATACTTCCGGTAAACCAGCCACCCAGGCCAAGTGCATCAGAGCAGTCACCCTTCTCTCTTTCCCTCCAGCCCACATCCCATCCATCGACAAATCCCATCAGCTCCATCTTTAAAATATATCCGAATCTGCTCTCTTTTCAACACCACCACTGCTATACCTCCCTAACCTAGGGTACCATCATCTCACACCTGAACCATTATAACTACTGATCTTTTAAACACAAATCACATCGCTCCTGTGGTAGAAGCTGCTTGTTGCTTACCCACGACACACACACACACACACACACACACACACACACACACACTCACTCATACACTCCCTTTCTTCCAAAATCAGAATATTTAGCTGAGCCCTGGCCATCTGGAGATAACCACATTTTCCCCAACTTCCCTCCTGGGTAGCTTGGTGATGGCCTTGGTCAGCTCTGATCTATAAATAAGTGGAACTTCCAGGACCCTTCCTTAAGAGACGCTGGGATTTGCCCTTTGCCCCATGTCACTGTCCCTTCCTCTGTCCTGCTGCCCGTAATGCAGATGCAGTCTCAGACCCTAAGAACAGGCCACGTGTATGAATGCCCTGCGCTGTAACACCATGAGAGAAGGAAAGAAACTATCTTGTTCAAATCACTTTTTTTTTCTTTCCATTTTACTATCAGAGTTAAAGCAAATCCTAAGTAACACAATCCTTATGTTCAGAACCTTCCAAGGCTTTCCACCACACCAAGAATAAAACGCAAGCTCTTCACCATGGCCTCCGAGGTTCGCATGATCTTGCCCAGCTCTGTCTGACCAGTTCCTACCACTGTCAGCCTTGCTGAGTCCACCGCAACCACCCTGGCCCCCTTCCTCTTCCTCCACCTGCTAAACGTGTTCCTGTCTGACCTTTACATCTACTGTTTCCACGCTTACAGTGCTCTTTCTTGGGTATCTGCGTGGCTTGCTCCCTCACGCCTCCCCCAGGTCTCTGCTCAGTGTACCTCCTAATGGAGGCCTCCTTCCAGCCTCCCAACTGAATGCATGCATTTACTTGTTTAGGGCTGGTCCCCCTCATCTGAATACAAAGCTCCACAGGGTCAGGGCCGCGGTCCGTCTCCTCAGACACGGAGAGGAGCTACAGCTCACAGTGGGCACGGGCACTAACGCATTTGTGGAAGGAAGGAAACTATAAAGCTTCAGAAGTCAGACTTCTGTTTTCCCGAGTAAAAAGAAATGCTGATCTGGTAAAAAGTGGTAAAAAATGGTGTATACATGTACAATGATTGTTTAATTTAAAAACTGGGGGGTTGAACTCTTTCTTTAGTTTCTTATAGAAGTAGTTCCTGAATTTCTCTGTACCACTGGCCAACACTATTGCTGACAGCTGCAAACTGAAACTTAGTATATTTTTTACTCTGCGGCCATTGGACACCCTGCGTTGCTCTTTTATTGTCAGTAAGCGTGAAGTGCGGTGAACACCCCTCACTCTGGTGGAACACACCAGACCACAGTGTGTCCCAAAATCTGGGAGGGAAAATCACAGTTATGGAGACCAGCAGAGCTTATATGCATTTTACCTTTTTTGTAGTGCAAGCATCTTCAGGGCAGCCGGTGTGCTAAGCTAAAAGTTATGCACAACACTTACATACAGTGATTAAGGAAGAATGGCACCCGCTCCACAGCGGTGATGGTTTGATAGTTCATCTATCTCTTCTTTTATAATATCTAGCCAGTCAACCTCTTAGGAAGTAGTAACAAGGGAAAAGAGTTTGTGCTCAACACACAAAAAGAGGACTCCTTCTGTGATTGCCCTCACAGAGACTTGCATTTAGGCTCGACAGAAACCGCCTTTGCCAAGTCACCCAGCGTCTTGCCAATCTCTTGGTCATGTCTGGTGGCAATTACCTACTGCCTCCTCAGGGGGGAGGCTGATGCTGTCCGTGTACAGGTATTCCAGGAAGGCTCGGTAAACAGGATACGAAAATTCACTCATTTCTACAATATCATCCTCACTGTCTTCCAACGAAGAACGAAAATGCTCACACCTGAAGTAAGAAAAGCGTGTCAGGTCCTAGCGTCTGGGCAAGAGCCGACGACTGCAGGGAGCACGTCCTTGTGGGGCTCAAAGCGGGAAAAGCTGACAGGGAGAAAGGGGAAAAGCAGCACCACACGTGACGCTCTGCAAGTTTCCCACCTTCTGTCCTTGCCCCAGCCCCTCACTTCCTCTGCTGGCCAGTTTCCAAACCGCCATTAACTCCGCAAGGCTGCCAGTGCACCCCTGCTGTGCTGGACCCGCCTCCGCAGCCACGCTGGGTGGAAACTGCCTGTTCCCTGGCCTAGTTCCCACACCACGTCCACTGAGCAGCACTTATGGAAACCAGGTGGGTTTATGTTTATAACCTCTGAGTAATTTTGTTTCTTTACTTCCTGTTACGGGTTGAATTATGTGTTCTCCCAATTCCTCATAGGTTGAAGCCCTAACCTCAGAGTATAACAGTGTTTGGAGACTAAAATGCTATAGCGAGTTCATTGCAGTAGGATTTAAATATCTGTTACACAACAATGTGATGATTTTCAAAATCATTACGTTAAAAGAAAGAAGCCAGGCCCAGAAGAGGACATACTGTATAATTCCATTTGTATAAACTTCTAGAAAATGCTAACAAATCTACAGTGACAGAAAGAAGATCAGTGCTGGCCCCAAGGCTGGGGCATGAGGGATCTTTGAGGGGTGGCAGAAACTTTCCATATCTTGATTTGGGGCACTGCTTTCACATGTACGAATATGTCGAAGTTCCTGAAACATGCACTTTAAATGGATGTAGCACATTCCTCAAAAATGATACATCAGTGAATTTGATTCCTTAGAAGTCTGGCTTAGCTTTACCCAAGACCTGGATGCTCTGGAAAAGCTTCATCTTCTCTTATTTCAAGCATCTGTAAGTTCAGTATCCCACAGCTGGCTGAGGAGAACGACACTCATGGACTGAGCCCCGCTCCCAGATAGGGGACTGGCTTGTGTCGAAGCAGTCCCCGAAGTGCCAAAAGCACATGGCACACTCACCCGGTGGTGGCTGGCTGTCTCTGACGCCAAGTGGGGCAAACGGTTTGTAAGGTCCTCCCAGGAGGCCTACGGTGCTTATGTCCTGAACCACACCCCCAGCATCACTGCATCTCGCCTCTATTATTTCTTGTTTTCTGTATAATGTATTCCCCCAGCTGTACTATAAGCTCATAAGAGCAAAAACTGCCTTACATTTTTTCATAATTACTGAAGTGCCTAGCATAGTTCCTTGGATTAGCAAATAATAAATGTATTTATTTCAACTCTCAAAATAAATTATTCCTTACCTGATTTTGAGAAGGACTTTATGTGCATAAATATACTTTCCATCCACCAGAAATTTCAGGTCTGCGGTGTTGGGGTTGTCAAATTCCCTCTTCAGTGACTCAGCCACTGTGAGGTGGTCGTCAGGTTCTAAGAAAACAACACCACCATTGAGTTAACTACAGACATAATGAAAATGCAGGCTGCAATATAGCATTGAAGTCATGAAAATACCAATTTTCCAAAATAACTGACCAACTGAGCAATGCTTTTTTTTGCCCTAAATACAGATGTGCATCTCTGTGATCATTAAGGATTAGAACCTCACACACATCTGCTTATAAATCTGGCAAAATAACTAAAAAGTCCAAAACCACCTCACTAAATGAAACTTTTGAATGTTTGAGTAAATATACTAGCTAAAACGAAAAGATATGGTTTCCCAGTCAAATTAAAAAGCAGTCAAATAAAAATACTTTTAATTTAGTATGCAGTGTAAGTGGCTGATACTTTTAAGAAAAACAAATCAATCAAACTAGTTCCGTTTTATAGGAGCCCATTAGCGGGAAACAAATCATATGATACTGCACTTAACATAGTCCTTCCTGTCAAAATAAAAGCACCCGAGTTCTCTTCCTAGCTCTCAAGCCATCACCCAAATGTGCAGCGATCAGCTCACCCACAGACAGGAGGCGCCACGAGACGGCGGGAGTGGCAAAGCAGGCAAACACGTCGTCCGTGCAGGAGAAGTGGGTGAGGTGAGGCAGGACCACCGACTGGCCCCGGCACTGGCCCCACATGTACACGTGGCCCCCCTGGGTCTTGGCGGCAGAGGTGTGGGCAGAGTGGCAGGCTGCAATCTCTATAATTCTAAATTCACAAACACCAAGTAAACACCATAAACAGGAAAAGAAACAGCTGGTCTCTCCTTCCTTTGGGTTTAACTGATTTAAAAAACAAAACAAGACCTTACACAACTAACGGCCTAAGTTTTCAGGCAATATATAGGTATTTACATGGAAGCTATACTTCAGCACACTTATAAGTCATGAAGATCTTGTTACCACTTCTCACCAGTAAACGTATAAAAATACGTACTATCCCATTTTGAAATTCAAGTACAGTTCAGAGTGTAAAGACCAACAAAGAAAAAAATGTGATATAATTGTTTTTCTTAAAACATAACTTACTAAGGTAGATAATAAAGACTTCAGCCATTTTGACTCAAGCTCAATAACCATTTTCATCAAAACTTCATCAATTTTAGGTTACATGGAGCATGCTGTAGGTCACCCCAACTGACTGCAAACAGTAAACTCAGTAGTTCTAACTCACTGGGCTGTGTCATCTGGAGCCCAAGAGTGAAGTTTTCTGGGATTAATATATGTTAGACCCGAGTGCAACAGGTTCATGATTGCCAGGGAGGTAGTTCTCAGAACACTTCTGAATGGAAAACACTCTTTTTGTTGATTTGGAAATAATTACTTTGCCCTAAGAATAAGCCACCATACAGATTCAAAGAAGACAGTAAACTATTTTACCCCAAGTGAGGTTGCCATCTTGATTTTGTCACAGCATGCAATGGTACCAGCATCCTCAGTGACAGAACTTCAGAATCATCTTTGACTTCTTCTCCCTCCTCCCTTACCACTTTTCTCAGAATGTCCAGTTGACAAATAACATAGAGTCTTTGTGAATTCTCCCATCTGCCACCACCCTCGGTCAGATACACCCCACATCTGGACCAATGTAACAGCCTCCTAGGTCTCTGCCTTAGATCTGCTCTCCTCTGACCCAAACTGCACAATACTGGCAGGTGAATAATCCTCTTGAAACACCATTGTCATCAGTACTTTGAAACCTTCAGTGACTTCCCACAAAATAAAATCCAGACATGTGACATTAAGGCCTTCCATAATTTGGCTTCCACCTATGTCCAGCGTTTTTTCAAATAACTTTTGCCCATACACCTTATGTTCCAACAAACAGATGTACTCACTGCCCCTCAATGTCTTTTATCCGTAAAGTCCTTATTCAGGAATGTTCTTTCCTTTCTTCCTGCCTTAAAAATCCTACCCATCTTTTAAGCTCAAACAGCCCCAAGGTAAGAGGTCTCTTGCTCATATGAGTTCTTACAGTACTTCATGTCCACACCACTCCAGCCTGGCCCTGTTATCTTTTCATGTGTATATGTCTTACCTATTCAGTTAGACTACAAATTCCCGACAGGCTAAATCACTAGCTTATTTCTCTCTCCCTAAGCACCCAGTACAGTGTCTTACTAAATAGAATTTGTATATCATTTTATTAACTCATTGAAAAAGACTCAACAAAAGTGAGCCACTGAGGGTTGGGTAAGACCCCGTTGACCAAGGCTAACAGCTGAAGGGTGGAGATATTCTTCCACTGTGTGCTTTAACTGGATGTTTTCCAATCATGGAAGGAGGCTGGTCACCATACAACCTGGAGATTGCTATGGTAGCTTGCCTCAGAAGGCTGAGACATTGTTTTCATGTGCAGCCCAAGTAATTTCATTGATTTATTAGAGGATTGCTCTCAGCTCCTGAAAATAACCCAAGAGTACTGGAGGAAGAGAGGCTATGATGGCCCGGAGTCCTGGATGTTGGATCCTAGGATCCAGCAGTCCTGGAGGTTAGAATCCTAGCTCTACCACTAGGCTGTGTAACTGTGGGAATGGCCCTGAGCCTCTAGGAGTCTCAGTTTCATCACAATGTAAGGCCAATATGTGAAAATTAAACAAGAAAATGCTAAGCGCCAAGCACGATGTCTGGTGTGTAAATGGTAGCCTAGCAATAGAGGTTTCTTAATATTATTACTTCTACTCAGCATTTTAAGTGCCAAAGCCTCCCTTATGTAGAGACTGTATATTTCTAATGATCAATTAATGATTTGCATGGTTAAGTCAGTCAAGTGGCTGAAATCTCTGACACAGTGTTTTAAAAGAAACTTCCCCACATAGGGAAAATGGTCAATACTATTTGGCTTCTCAAAAAGCATATTCTTTTCAACAAATAGAGAAAAGGGAGCAGGAAACAGAATACATTTAGTCAAAGAAAAATGCATCTACTGTTAGCGTCTACCCTCATATAGTACCCCCACGTGAGGGTAGCAACACCCTTCATTTTGGATGGCTCGGTGTGGTGGGAAGGACATGGGTTGGGAGAAGGATAGCCATGTGTAGAGGCCAAATTGCCTAAACTATTATCCATTTTATCATCTTAAAAAAATAAAAAAGAAAGAAAGAAAGGTGAAGGGAGCAGAATACAAGGTAGCAGTCATCTCACAGGCTTGTGGTGAAGAGTAAATGAAATAAGCTGTCTGGCACAGTATACATTTCTTCCCGTGACTAAAAGTGTTTAACATCTGCTGCTGCAGGCACTCTGGAGCCTGCCCGAGGAGCTCATGACTCAGCTGAAGAGACAAGTGACGTATCTGTAAAACTGCAAATAACTCCCAGACACCATCATAGTGTAGCCCTGACTACAAGTGCTCTGGTGAGTAAGGGAAAACACCTGGGGCCTCCTCAGGGAGGACGAGTATTTAAAGTAAAAGGGAATGCAGGTTTGGAAGAGAAAGGGCATTTGAGGCAGGGAGAAATACGTGTACAAATGTGTAGGCATCGCATGGAAACAGCAAGCCTGGAGAGGGTACACTATGAAGAGGACCTACCTGGAACACATGGGCAACTTTGGGAAGCAGAGAGCAATGAGGTTTGCTGACAACAGAGGTGTCAGTCTTAAAACCAAGG